ATAACCCAGGGTCTTATTTTCTTTTTACCCCTGAAATAAGCACTTGGTCTTGTTTTTGGGAAGATTTTATTATTTTTGAGGTGCAGGAGGCGGCAAGTGTGATCACCTCATGGCTGCTGCTGTGTTGCAATATTTTTGGGGAGGGCTTATTTTAGCATATGTGCTCAAAAGCCTAATTGAGCTTATTATCCAGGGAGGTCTTATTTTCGGGGACACAAGGTAGTGTTAAATTGACTTTAGATAACTAAAGAATGATACCTTTTCAGAATCATTTTTCCACTTTGTTAAAAAAGGAAAGTATTTGTCATGCCATTCCAGTCTAAGAATTTTTTAGAGTTTTTTTATGTCTACCTGTGGGAAACCAGGGTTGTTATATCTATGTATATAAGTAATGCATATCTATGTATAAGTAATGAGTGGCAAAAAAACTATTAGTATGCCTGAAATGATTTAATGAAGCCCGGATCATGACATGTCAGGAACTGTTCTTGTCATTTGGTTAGCTCCATCTGCAATTTTAATAATTTATCCAGTTCAGTGAGAGTTCAGTTTGCAACCCATTTAGAAGTCTTCTTCATGCTACATGTTCCAGAAAGGAATGGGGCTTGTATGGCTAAAGGAAGGTTCTTGAGCCAGTTGTAATTGTAGTTGTAGTTGAGTTTATTTATAGGCCGCCCTTTTCCCTGAGGGGACTCAGGGCGGCTAACAACTTGTATGGGAGGGGGAAACATACGATGACATATAAACACAATATATAATTAAAATCGAGCAACATTCATTCAACATTCGGGTGGGGGCGGATTATATTCTTTACCCCCAGGCCTGACAGGATAGCCAGATCTTGAGGGCTGTGCAGAAGGTCTGAAGGGTGGTGAGGGTACGAATCTCCACAGGGAGATCGTTCCAGAGGGTCGGAGCTGCTACTGAAAAGGCTCTCCTCCATGTAGTTGCCAGCCGACACTGGCTGGCAGATGGCACTCGGAGGAGGCCTAATCTGTGAGATCTAATGGGTCGAGAGGAGGTGATTGGCAGGAGGCGGTCTCTCAAGTACGCAGATCCACTACCATGAAGGGCTTTGTAGGTGGTAAGAAGCACCTTGAAGCGCACACGGAGATCAACAGGTAGCCAGTGCAGCTCGCAGTTTGGAGTTGAATTGGTAATTAAAAACAACAAAAAACTCCAGGGATGGCAAATAGAGTCAGAACTTGTGCAGTTCAGGGAGGTTACTTCAGCATGTGTTCTTTTTTCCCCCTTCTTATTCAATCCATGTCAAGTCTTCAGCTTAGATGAAATGAATTTTAAACTAAGATTTGGTTAAGTGGATTTTTTTTTTTGCCTCTAAAATTAACTCTGTGCTCTTTTAAACTCTACAATCACCAGCAAAAGAAAACCCACATTCATCTTAGATATTTCCAGATGAGCTGATAATCTTGCCGTTCATGTTGGGCTTTGGTGAAAAAGCTTCCTGAACTTTTAGGAATTGTATCCTAAAATGTTACACAAACATTTCACAAAAAAGACTTTGTCTCATGAATGGTGAATAAACAGTTCAATAATTTCTGTTTTTAAGAAGGTAAATATTAACTATCCTTAGTGCCCTTGGATTTTTATGCTCAATAAAATAAAATACTAGACAGTAAACTTTGATTTGCTGATCCAAATATGGGTAAAGTCTCTCCGATTTTGTGAACATAACTTACATTTCAAAATGCTTTATGTAATATGCAGGATGTTTCATGGGTGTTTTAAATTCAAGAAACTTGGATAAAATGAGATCAATCATACATTGAACATTCTAGAGTTTTCCTATAATAAGAAGAAAGGGGAAGGCTTACATATATATTGGCCTTATGGCCATATAAAGAATAAAATGTTATTATTATCTTGAGTTATTAAAATAAGATACCATTGTCAGTATAGACTAATGAACATTAGACAAGCTATATGCATTTTTCAACTCTATAGAATTGTGAATTTAGATCTGCAATATAAAATTCAAGCAATCTGTTTTATAAAATGACACACAAGTAAGGGAGCAAAGGAAGTGAAGAAATAACTGAGTAATAAATATAAAATACAGTCATATCTTTATTTTATTTTTTTACTCTCGATATTGCGTGAGAACAGGAATGAAAATTTCTCTCAGAGATAAACTTTTCCAGTTCTCATTCTTTCAAATGCCTATATTTGAAGTTTGGTTAAAAAGATAGCTGAACTATGACAGTGTGATTTCACCCCATGTGCAAGCGAAGCACATCCATGAGCAGAACCGGCATTAGTGGCTGTCGGACCCACCCCTGATCATAGGCCCATATGAGGGTGTACGTGGCAAAACAAATGTTGTAATATCAAAACACACACACACACACACACACCGAATTACATACTTGTGTTCAGAAACAGAATAAAGTATAGAAGATTGTGGTTTTCCTTGTTGTTGTTGTTGTTGTTGTTGTTGTTGTTGTTGTTGTTGTCATGGTTAATAACAGGAGTCTAAGGCAGTTATCTTTCAGGAGACTTTGCCTCTCTTTATCATGATGCTATTCTTTCATTGTAATAATTTTAGGAAAGGTTCCATAAATGCCTTGCTGATATTTGAAAGGTTTCTAAGTGTTGCTTTTCAGATAATGAACATGAGTTTATTGCTTTATATTATATTCACTAAGATACAGAGAAGAATCATGCTATGCCATATTGTCATTTGGCACATCATCTTGGATTTATAGTACTTTTAAGATACTTTCCTTTCCACTCCACCCCTCTCTTTATATCATTTGCAGAAAGATTTATTATCCTTGATAAAATACAGGGGCAATTTCTTCCAAACACTTTTTTCTTCTTTCAATAGAAGCTTCCAAATGTATTGTTTTATTTGTTTGTTTATTGCACCCAAATTTTCCAACAAGGCTGATTTGTTTAGGCTGATTCCATTAATTGATAGTTTATTGACATAGATAACATGAAGTAGATTATAATGCCACATATCAGGAATCCCTTCCAAGTATTTTGGGCTTAAATCACTAAATTTGTAAGATGTTCAGAGTTGCCTCTAGAGAAAATGGGTGGCACATAAATAATTATACTGGCATAAGATAGATAACATCCGAAACAGCCGGGTGATACTAACGTATATCTACCACGTATCATAACCATGCCTAAAGTTTGTAGCTTGTAGAAGATAGCTAATGGTTAGTAGTTAATAGTGATAAATCAGAACAAAGACCAAATTGAACTTCACTCTGGCCAACCCACATAGGGTTGGTGTTGGGAATTGTGGATTTGTGCATCCTTTTTGGGAGGGATAAATTATAACTGCTTGTCACAATTAATACCTATATATACCTGGCTCATGTTAGACAGCTTAGGTCACATTTTAAATTCAATAAATAAATAAGTTGAATACAACATTTTGACATATAGATTTTATTTATATCAGTAGTAACATTTGGTTAATATGCTGATGGTCCTAGGCAGTCTAAGAAACAAATTAGAAATAAATTAGAAGCATGAAAACAAGAGATGAAATAGTTTCATTTATACCCACTTAGTAACTCTGGCACTATTAAAACTCACAATATTCACTGATTGGCCCCAGTGGGGCCTTAACAACAAAGAAAAAAACCCCTACTGTGATGACCTAAACTATGTACACTTTAAGCCATGAAAACAAGGGACAACCTCATACAATCTGATTAATATAAATACGTGCATCAACCACAGCTTCCAATTTCTTTGCTGCCAAATTGTCAGCCGATCATTCTACAACCTATTCTTTTTGTATCAGCCAAGGGTTCAGTTCCCAAGAGGCAACCAATGGCATTATGCAATACATCAAAGACCTGAATATTGGCCCCTTGGTTGTAATCTCTCTCCCAATTGGCACCAGAAACTCCACTAAGGCAATATGAATATCAGTACACATAAAATATGAGCAGTTTTGTCAGTGTAAGTCATGAAGCCATTTTGCAGAGAACCAGTTACATCACCAAAACACCAAAAGAGCAAGTGAATGGGAATGGGATGATGAGAGTTTGATTAAGCAATCTAGAAACAATATATTTACCTTTTCCGAGCCTGACAATAATCGTTTTGTGTGAAAAAGACAGAAAGATTAGATCTCAGACCTCCTATTTCAGGAAAAAGACCTGTGTTCAATAGACATCAGAGCAGAAAAACAGAAGATACACGATTTGTCATTTGTAATCTATTATTCTTTGGCAGATACATTTTAATTTCATGAAGAGGGCATATTCATTGGTAAGCCAGCATTGAAAAAGTTAATGAAATAATTTCTAAGAAATTTATAGAATGCAAAGGACCCCATACGGGGAAGGAGAAGGGAGTCATGGGTTGTTATTCATTCCTGTAAAAGTGGGGGAGGGGCTAAAATTAACTTTGTGGGTATCTTGTGCCATGACAAAGAAATATATTTACCTGAAAAGGAGACAATTCATGCATTGAACACATTCCCACCAACACATACCAAAAAGGCAGAAAACAAATTGTTAGTAAATTTAAAAAAAAATCATGTTGCAGTTAATTTTGAATAAAATATTTTCTCACCTACAAGAGATTTTTTTTCTTATTCCTATAGCCTTAAGCACCTTAAGTGATCAAAAAGGTAGAGTTGTAGAAGCATATACAAGTACACTGGATTGTTTTTATTCTTTTGTTATTACTATGATTGCATAATGTAACATTTTACACTAGGCATTGTATATATTATATAAATATGCTAAAATAAAACTTTAAACAAGCATTCTACCAATTTGATTTACATTGAAAAGAATGCAAGACGTTATCTGAAAAACATATTTGCTGAGGTTTTTTTTTAACTATTGATCTAATCTTTTGTTGAAGCTACTTTCCTGAGAGTACTCATGTCACACAATAGTTTGGGGAATGATAGCTTTTCCTCTTTTTCTGTTTAGTCTGGAGTATCGTCATTAATCAACCTGTTTGTTGAAGTAGTTTAATTTCATTTGTATCTGTTTTGACAGCTGAATCTTATCTTCCTGGTGATCACACTGTGCAAAATGGTGAAGCACTCAAACACTTTGAAACCAGACTCTAGCAGGTTGGAAAACATTAAGTAAGTGCTATGTGTTCAGATCCAAAACTGTGATTATTTGTCTGATTGTTTCAGCTGATTGAAAGCTCCCCTCCATTAGGAACACATGGCTTTGTCTCCCAGGAACCACAGATGTCAGTTAGAAATGAACAACACCAGTCTTGCTTTCAACACATTCGTTGCTCTAATGTTACAGACAAGGTTGAAATTAAATAACTTCTCCTTGGCATGGTGGTCAAAGGCGTTGGGTTGGTGCCTTCCTGAAATTCCAGGGCAGCACAGTCATTTCATTTGCATTTAAAATGCCCCTTGAAATTGCCTTCCTCTCTGCATGGCTGATGTTGTTCTGCTGGGTTTGTTTTGTTAAATTATTCTCAGCAGTTAGGGGGTCCTCGGCACTTTCCCCAGTCATAACTCTGACCTCCTAAGCGGGTTTGTTCCTATTACTATGGCTATCTTGATGGTTATCCGTTCCTTTTCATGCTAATTTAACAAACAATTATTTTTTATCGTAATGCTCTCTTTTCCAGAAATTGAAGCAATGTTTAATTTAATAAAACTGACAGTGGTGGATCACTCTTTAGAGCTGAGCTAGGCAACATAAAGTCTGCACTTTCAGCTTCAATCCCTGCTGTTTCTATGGTTAAACGAATAGAAATTGATTTGAAGTTTTCTAGTTAAAAACACTTCAGTCTTGTGTTGCCTATTCCAGCTTTTTACCGTTTAAGTCGTAGGGTTATTTCAGGCTAGGTTATTGTATTAGTCTGACGCTGGAGGGCTGCATAAATTTTATCATAAGCCTCTAATAAGTTCCAAGCAATTGTGCTGCAGACTGGGTTTTTAAATTGTCTTTGAGAATAGAATGTGACAAGGGTAAATTTGCAAGATACCTAACATTGCAAGCTAGATATTGCTTAGATAGGTCACAATATCAACTTCATTGCATGTTGCATGTTAAGAGAGAGAGAGAGCTAATCTTTAGCATCTCTCTCTTTTCTTCCTTTTCTTCCTCTTTTTGTCTTCTCATCTACACCAGTAATTACCGTGTTTGTGATGGCTACTATAATACGGACTTACCTGGGTAAGATAGAACCCTACATTAACAAATTTAAAGCATGACTTTAAATTAAAAGAAAAGAAAAAAAGAAAGAAAAAAAACTTGAAAATTTGGACAATTTCTTGGATTGTCCCTAATTTTAATGAATCTAAATATCTAATTTGCTAAACTACTTTCAATTCTTAAATGCCTTTATTATTTTAAATTGCTTGCCTCTGCACTTTGAATTCTCTCCTTTTAACTAATTTTTGTATGAACTTTACTAAAATGCTTTTTTATTAATTTCAAATTAAATTTCTGTCTAATAATTTTGTTTCTCTTTTCTGCTTATAATGCTTTCTAGCTATGAAGATAATAAGCCATTTATCAAGTAAGATCATTAGTTAGATGTGGAATGCAATGAATAAATCCCTTTTCCCTTTTCATTCTGTGCTGTCCTCTGCAATTTCTTTCTTTCTTTTTTTTTTCTTTCCCCGAAACTATTCATTATGAAATCCTTTAAAGATTTTATATTGCGGCTAAATCCACATACTTAACCACATTCAGTAAGACATTTTCCTATGAAAGTTAGAAGAAATAGTCTTAGTTTAGCAGAGTTTTTGAGCTTCTGGTTATAGGCTACTTAACTGCCATATAACCTTGTATAACTATGTTATCTGTGTATGTTATGTCAGATTTCAAGCACATTTATTTTAAAAAAAACCTGGCTTCTATTAATGACTTAGTATTTGTGATAAAATGCACATACACACATACATACATACAGATAAAAGGTTATAGGATCACGGATTCTATTTTTTGCATTTCAAAATAGTACTGTACGTTTGCAGTCATGAATAAGAGGAAGGGCCCATCTACCACTGTTGCTTTCACTAAAGAATAGGACTGTTTCCTTCTTTAATAGTTGAAAGGCTATTTTTTTAAAAAATGTTTGAATGCAAACCTAGCAACAGATAACCATAGCAAGTGAAAATGTAATGCATAAGTTTGCAATGTGCTGTGATATTTTTTTTTTAACTCAGTAGTCTTGCTTAATTTTATTTTATTTTTCAGGTCTTGGGCTCTAGGTGCATTTGCTCTCCTATGTCTTCTTGGTCTAACATGGTCTTTTGGACTGCTTTACATCAACGAGGAGACTATTGTGATGGCATACCTCTTCACAGTATTTAATGCTTTCCAGGGAATGTTTATTTTCATCTTTCATTGTGCACTGCAGAAAAAAGTGAGTCATTTTCATTTATATGTATTTATCTGTAGTGAATAACTAAATGTATACCATAAACGTGAGAAATTATAGAACACGTCTAAAGAAGAAACAAGAAAAAAATTATTCTTGTTGAAAAAATGTTAGTCATTTATTGGTTTATAATAGAATCAAAATATCAACGTGAATCTTGCATTGGTCATCCATCTCCACTTACTGAATATTAAAAAAAACCTGAATTTAAGTATTTATTTTCTCACAGAGACTACATGTATAAATTTTTGACATAATATGCACATTTCTAATGAGCATATAGCATATAGTTTAGCATGTAGTTTTATTTCTTTTATTTTGTTGGAACCAAGAGCTACATGGAAAAACTGTAAATGAGAAATCTGGGAGAAAAAGTTACAGTAGAATAATATATCAGACTAGAAAGTTATTCATTAGATTACTATGTATAAGAGTTCATGAAAAATGTTTTCATCAAAAGTTGACTACCAGCGAGCTATTTAAGGGAACGGATATGGCCCTGCTCCTGCTTTTTCCATGTACTGTATAAGCAGAATGTCTCTTTTATAATGCTCTGATAGAAAATATTGTTGAATATAATTATCTATAATAATAACAATGGCTGGCTCTAGGTAAGACTTTAAATTCCAATAAGTTGAATATATTATTTGCTTTATCAAAGTAACCAGGGCACTTAATAGTAGTTTCCATTCTAGGAAAAATGCATTTTTATATCACCAATACAAAGTATCAAAAATTAAATAAGAAAAGTTGAAATTTGGAAATATAATAATACAAGAAAAAATAACTAACCCATATGTAACATTTTAAAGATATTGCAATTATATTTGGGGATTCTTGATTCAAAAGTATTGCATTACTTTAAGATTTTTAAATTAAAAAGACATAACTGCAGTAGTTTGTGATACATCTCATACAGGGGTGAAATTCAGCAGGTTCTTAAAGGTCTGGAGAAGTGGTAGCGGAAAGTTTAAGTAGTTCAGAGAACCGGCAAATGCCACCTCTGGCTGGCCCCAGAGTGGGATGGGAATGGAAATTTTGCAATATCCTTCATCCAGGAGTGAGTTGGGAATGGAAATTTTGCAGTATCCTTCCCTTGCCACACCCACAGAACCGTAGTAAAAAAAATCTGAATTTCACCACTAATCACACATGTATATTACTTATGTAAAGACTGAGAGACAAGTAATATTTTGTATTTAAAATCAAATAAGCATTTCAGAATTTGTTTATAATTTTAGTGACATTTAATTTTTATGCTCCAGCCTTTAGACGTTATTTCTATACTGCTTTTTCCCGAAAAAGGCTAATATTATATATAAAGATAAATTTTCTAGAATTAGGTACTACCTTTTAAAAAAAATTAAAAGGACAATGTTGAATGCTTTTTCAGGATATTATATTAGGATATTTTTTCAAATTCATAAATACAAAGGCATGCTATATTTATAGTGTTAATATTTTGAAACATTTTTATAATAAGCAAAGCAAATCCAGCTCAACAAAATTATAACAAAATGCCATTCAAGTGTAGAAAAAGTGGGTAAAGTAAGTCAAGATTATTCATGCTTCCAATGTCATTCAGATTGTCATTTGAAGTTTAAAAGCTTCACTCTCTGCTACTGGATATTGTTCCATTTTTTTCTATATATTGCTAATGCAGTCTTTTTTATTTGGTTATTGCTAGTGGTCACTAAATTGAGCAGAGAAATAAAATTGGGAAAGTGAAAACGATTATGTTTCCAATCCTGACAAGATGATAGTTCTGTTACCTCGGTTTTCAGCAAGCTGTAATTTAGAAATGATGGCAGTAGAATGTGCAGCCCGACAGAAAATGTACATTTGCAGCAGTATAGGCAATTAGGCAAAATCAGCCTTAGAGGGTGATATTTAGGAGACAACGAGGGGATCTGTTAGGTAGAATTCTATAGTTGTTAGCATCTTTTAATTGACAGTTATGCATGACCATGAAATATTTGTGTTATTTATCAGTACAGCTTTAGTTTTCTTTGAGTTGTTTTTAAGTGTGTGTGTATGTTTGATATATATCACACACAAACACACACATATGTATATATCACACACATATATTCTTATAAGATTGTACGATCTTACAATGTTTATATTTAACTATTATATACATTAGTTGTCTTTCTATGAAATATGAAAAAATGTAGCCAAAACCAATGACATCTGAAAATAAAATAGTAATCTAAAACCATATAAAGATTAAATGAATACCTACCAAACCAGCAGACAGTAAAACATAATTAAATTCAACGCAGGTTATAACAAGGAACAGCTGAAAAAGCAGACCGATTATTTAAATTAAATACCTTTTCCATTGCTAACAAGTATATGCTATAAAGTAGAGGGGCCTCTGTTGTTTGGGATTTCCCAAAACCTTATGCAGCATAAGAAAAAAAAAATTCTTGATTTATAGCCAAAGGTACTCAGATGTTATGAAAGAGAGAAAAGTGCCTGGATGATCTCAATATTTGAGTATGTTCATACAAAAGGAAAAACCATGTTTAATATCTTGAAATATTGATTAATGACTTAAATTAGACTACATTCAGAGAACAGGTACTATTTGAAACAATTCAATTCTGTCTTGAATCTTCAATATCCTGTCATGATCTCCGTGCTTAAAATAAGTGGAATGATGATCAGTGTATTAGCAGAAAATATCTAGTTGATACATTTGTAGCCAAATTACCAACCTATGGAATAATTTACAGATAATCCAGAATTACCGATCACTCATTCAATGACTATTTGAAGCTGTGATAGCACTGAAAAATAAGATTTACGATGAGATGTGAAGTTGCTGCCATCCAAGTATCCACCACAATATGTGATTATGATTGGATATGGGGCAACTGGCTCAGGTTTTTTTTGTTACATGTGATCACCATTTGAGACCTTTACAGATAGGTTCCAACAAGGAATGTCAATGGGGAAGTTGGCAGGAAGCTACAAGTTGTGGTCACATTTAACAATATGTGGTGATGTAAGTTGGCACAAGGGACGCAGTGGCTCAGTGGCTAAGATAATGGAATGAGTTCCCATTGCTTATCCCAGCTTCTGCCAACCTAGCAGTTCGACAGCATGTAAAAATGCAAGTAGAAAAATAGGAACCACTTTTGGTGGGAAGGTAATAGCATTCCGTGCACCTTCTACATTTAGTCATGCTGGCCACATGACCACGGAGATGTCTTCAGACAGTGCTGGCTCTTTGGCTTTGAAACAGAAATGGCCACTGCCCCCTAGAGCCGGGAAAAACTAACACATATGTGCGAGGGGAACCTTTACCTTTTAAATTAGCACAATCACATGATTTTTTCAGTTTACAATCTCATTAATTATAGCAAGAGTTTCCCATCCCTGTTGCAATCAGTAAATGGGGACTACCTATATTTGGGGAACAAGAATTAATCACTGAAAAATATGTCTGTCTGTCTGTCTTCTATCTATCTATCTATCTATCTATCTATCTATCTATCTATCTATCTATCTATCTATCTATCTATC